AACGGGAGAGGTGGCCAATGCTCTATCTTTACACTGACTCATGGATGGTAGCAAATACCTTATGGGGGTGGTTACAGCAGTGAGAACAAAATAACTGGCAAAGAAGGGGTAAACCTATTTGGGCTGCTGAACTGTAGAAAGACATTGCTGCCCAAACAAAAAGTATGGTATAAAGGTACATCATGTAGATGCTCATGTGCCCAAGAGTCGGGCTACTGAAGAACAGCAAAATAACCATCAGGTAGACTGAGCTGCCAGAACTGAGGTGACTCAAATAGACCTGGACTGGCAGAACAAGGGTGAATTATTTCTAGCTCGATGGGCCCGTGAGACCTCAGGCCATCAAGGAAGAGATGCAACATATAAGTGGGCTAGAGACCAAGGGGTGGATTTAACTCTGGATGCTGTTGCACAAATCATTCATGACTGTGACACATGTGCCACAGTTAAACAAGCCAAGAGGATGAAACCTCTCTGGGGGGAGGGGTGATGGCATGAGTACAAAACTGGGGAGGCATGGCAGGTTGATTATATCACCTTGCCATGACCTCGCAATGGTAAGAGTTATGTGCTCACCATGGTGGAGGCAACAACTGGGTGGCTTGAAACATATGCAGTACCCCATGCTACCACCCAGAACACCATATTAGGTCTGGAGAGGCAAATCCTGTGGCGACATGGCACCCTGGAAAGAATTGAGTCAGATAATGGGGCTCATTTCCAAAATTCACTTGTGGATACTTGGGCCAGAGAACATGGCATCGAGTGGATTTATCATATCCCCTATCATGTACCAGCCCCTGGTAAGATTGAATGCTACAACAGGTTCTTAAAAACTATGTTAAAAGCACTGGGTGGCGGAACATTTAAGCACTGGGAGAAGTATTTTGCAGAAAAATTTGGCAGCCAACACCAGAGGATCAGTCAGTCGAGATGGTCTCACCCAATCCAGCTCCCTACATATTGTAGAGGGAGGTAAGTTCCCTGTAGTACATGTAAAGAATATGCTGGGAAAAGCTGTTTGGGTCTTTCCAGCTTCTGGGAAGGGCAAACCTCTATGTGAAACTGTCTTTGCCCAAGGACCTGGGTCCACCTGGTGGGTGATGCAGGAAAACGGGGATGTTCAGTGTGTACCACAAGGGAATCTGATGTTGGGGGAGTGCAGTCAGTAATTCCTTGTGTTCATATTTTGTTTGTATATATATATATTAAGCATGATGTAGTGATGTAGAATAAGGGGTGGAATGTGTAATGGTTTTGTGATTTTTGGTTATCAGTATTCCACACCAAAACATCACGTAATGCACTGGGGGTTTGACTGCTGATGCTCAAGTTCCAGGTGCCTGTCCAGAGGAGAACTACATTTCCCCAGGGGGCTTTGTGGTCAGCGAGGAGATACAACTCCTGGCAAGGTCACCTGATGCTCTCTTCTCCATCTGCCTTTCTTCATCGCCATTCACCTCCTTCATAGCCACTGCTTTTCTTCTTCGGCTCAACTGGACTGCACTTCTCACCTCAGCGTTGTGGTGAGGCCTATCCACTTTCCAGACACACTCTCTCTCATTATATTTTGCTGATACTATATTGAGTAAATTAGTTTGTTCCACCTCAGATTGTTGCCACTGTTTTCAATTATTTTGGGGTCCTCTATTTCCCTTTTCCAGAGGTGCGGATCCACGGATCCCTCTGCCTGCTGGTCACAGAACCGGGCTGAACCAGCCTGTAAACCATTGTCAGATTATTATTATAGGCAAAAGGGGTTTAGACTAAACACATTTGGCCAAGTGGGGTCAAGTTTAGACTGAGGTAAAATACAAAAATGAATCTGTATTCATTAGACACTCTCTTATCCAACAATTACAATGAAGAAATTGATTTCTGAATGTTTCTAACTTAGAAAACCATTTGTGAAACCAACATGTGCTGGTATACCTTGAGTAACAACCAGAACAGCTACTTTTTTCCTCTGGTATGTATTCTCTTGTGATTTTTGGTTAGAAAGTTCTCCAGTTATTATGTAACATTAAAGTGCTACATAGATGATATCTGAAATAACTGCCTAACTCTCTCCAAGAAATCCCAGGAAACTGTATTACAAATGAATAGGCTTTAGCTCAGGTTCTGGGACCCCAAAGCTCTTAGTGCCTAAATAGCAGGCTGCTTGGTTTGCTGTGGTATCCCACAGCGCTCCACATCCAGATGACTTGCTTTGAGTGCATTTACAGAATCAAGCCTTAAAGGATTTAGCTTCGTAACTTATAAGAATTGCTTTAATTAGGAGCCAAAGCTCTACAAATCTGGCAATAGCAAGAGAATACTTTTCAGTATTTTAATAGAATTCATTTTTCTTCTGCACACCTACAGTAGTAAGCAGCAGGTGTCAGGGGTTTTATGAATACTCAAGGTGACAACAGTATTGCCTGAATTCATTGATTCAGTTCATAAAATTTGGATGATGAAATAAATATCTAAGAAGTTGCATCCTGGTGTTTCAAATGTTCTGTTTATAAATACATTTACAATCATAATTCAGATGAAAGATCAACATCATTGCAGAGGTAATACATGCTATGAACTGGTGGATTACAAAAATATAGAAAATAGTTTGTGTTGACCAATATGATGTCTAAAAAATCATAGCCCACAATATGCAACTGAAAAATGTTGGAATTACAACTCACTTTCATTCCAAGTTCTTCATTTGAACTCTCCCCATATGCTTAGAACAGAATTCTGTTGCAGAGAGTAATTTACAGAAGCTGTTGTGCTCTTTTTCTTCCTACGGGCATTTCAATGTCTGTGCCTATTTTTTTTTTCCAAAGTTTTGCTATGCCAGTAAAATCTATGAATTGTTTCTTTAGGTTGTTTGCAGAAGTCTGCTTCAACAGAACTTAAGAGTGATTTTTTCAGATGGTGCGCTCTTTCTGGCAGGAAATCTGATTATCAGTGTTTAGAAAATATGAGTTCTACCAGTCTGAATCATAATGATAAATTACCAACAAGTGGTCTTGCAAATTAACTATCTGAAAGAGAAGAACAGTCTAGCAGTAAGACCTCTAAAACTGGGAGCAGCCCTTGTAGATAGGTCAGCTCTTCTAGCAAAGATCTCCCCTAGAATTAAGCTGTCAATTTTGTTATTTTATCAGACTTTCCATTGCATCAATCATAGTCAAAATGTCCCAGTTAAGATAAAGAAGATCAATTTTGCCTTGAAGGCAAAATGCAACTTAATCAGTTTGGAAAATGTGTCAGTCACAACACATGAGCAGCCTACTCCTCTTGGGAAGAGCTGATGATCATGTTCATCTTAATCTTGGACCAGAAAAAAAAACTATGTCAATGTTGAAAAGATTTCCTCAATAATCTCTTCAAAAGGAAGGCCTTCTAACTTCATAATTACGTTAATTCTAGGGACACGTGCAAAAGCCCATCAGTGCTCTCAGGAGTCAGATCTCCAGTATGGGTTCTCCAATTCCTGGCTTACACAGAAATTCCAATTTCACAGGTCAGTCATTCATCAATTGCAAAGCCTTCCCCCTCACCAGCCTTTACATTTTGAATGGAAATAAGAGATGAAGCAAAGCTACTGTTGCTTCTAGAATTAAAATAAATTTACTTCTCCAAATGGTATCTGATAGTTGAAAATTAAGGAGTATAATTTGTCAGAGTTCAAGAAGTATTTGCACAGCATTCTCAGGCATAGGGATTGATTTTGGGGTGGTCCTGTACAGAGCCAAGGGTTGCAGTCCGTGATCCTTGTGGGTTCCTTCCAACTCACAATATTCTGCGATTCTAGAAATTTGTCCAATGCCACTGAACTGTCTCTCCACCTCTGTACCTCCTGGTTAGTACAGGCTTGCTATTTGACACATCACATGTGTCATCTTCAGGAAATACTGCTTTAATAAAGGAAAAGTAACAGTCTGCTTCTTTGATCTCAAAGCAGAATCTGCAAATATGGTTTTAGAATGCATTAAATGTACACACTGTAGCAAATTTGACCTCTTTTTGATCCTCTTCTGCTCTGGATGGAAAGAGCAAGCAGCACACAGAAAAACTTAACAGCTGAAACTAACACAGAAAGCAGAGACATGACAACATGACAGGTTTTCTGTAGTAGTCCACTGTAAAGAGAAGTGGTAGCGAATTCTATTTTCAATAATAAGAACTAAAAATGAAGCACACATGGGAGAAAATTCTAACTAAAACAGATTTTATAGTTTAATATAGCAATGAAATATTTGAGTGGGAAAGAAGAACTCATTAGTAGATGTAAACACAAAATTTGAATAATCTGGGCTAGAAGGATAGTGTCAAGGGAATAAATTAGGGTAGGCAGTTTTTCTGTCTCTATAAATTTTGATATACTCTGCCAAGATGAAAGAGAAGAGATAAGAAACTTGAAAACCTATCCACATTCAAGTTTCCTGAGGGTTTCTAGCTGAAAGTTCTTTTTGATTACATCATTTAAAGTTATGTAAAAATATAAGCAAATGTGCTCAACAAAAGGCAAAGAGAATCTCTGGGTCATATATGCTCACTTTACTATACTACGGATGATTTGTATGCTTTGTATGTACCTTAATTGCCATTCATCACTGACTGCAATAGCAACATCTTTCCTTTTGTTTTCCAGTAGCCACATTACCCTGAATACTCTCACTTCCTTTGAAATCAAAGAACAGGGTTTACCCAGCAGCACAACTTCCTCTCAGACCAAGCATCTTCATACAAATCAGTACTCATTTCATCCATGCATTGACATTAAGAGGTTTTAAAATAAAAACCTCAGGGACAAACAAAACGAAATAACCTCCAAAATAATATATAAAAATACAAAAATATGCTGTCAATCTGTGTGTTTTCAAAGTAATGAATGTTGAAAATGACCGTAAAAGTGAACAAATCTAGTCGAGCTATGAGACAGAATAATGACCAATAATAACTACAGAATGCCACCTGTGAATAGAAAAATAGCTAACTAATGGAAGACACATTACCTTTAAAATTGTAATATTCCATGTAAAGCTTTCTACTGATTTTTGCAGTTTTCTTTCTTTTAAGCCTTCTCTTGCTCCTATATTGTGCAGGTTTTCATGAAACTCCATTGCTGTGGAGAGTAAAAGAGAGAGTAACATAGTAAATATTTTCCTGTATTTCTGTGATCATAGAAACAGTGATTTGAAACTAAAAAGGTAAAGAACAATGAAAAAGCTTCAGAAATTTCATTCTTCAAGCACAAATATATCTGTGAAGTTACAGTACCTGCCTACATACTCAGATCTCTCTAAGTCAAAATCTGCACTGCAATACCTGCTGGGTCACTGCCATAGGAACATGGAGCCAAACAAATATTTACTATACAAAATATTTTTCAATCACAATAGAATCTGTTGCACTACATGTGAAGACCTTCTCGTGGATCACTGTGAAATGGAAGCACTAATTTCAGGAAATACATCCCAACAAATTTATGTTGTGCTTTGCTCTAGTGTGAACCAAATTTACATCACAGTTGCCCAATTTACGTGTTGGGAGCCATGCAGAATACAGCCTTCTCACCCTACCCCTGAGGGAAAGGGCACAAATGTGAAAAAGGTGGCAGGGAAGTGAACCACCAAGAACATTTCCACTTATGTAAACTACTGTCTCTATGCAACTTGCATCTGACAGAATCCAACCCAAAAATTTACTGCAAAATTCAATGCAGTAGAATTACTAGAGCATACATTTTAATTCAGTGAAATGCACAGATTTAATAACAAATAAATTGCTTCCCATTATGCTGTTACAAGTCATACATAAAGAAGTTTGAAACACAGTTTCCTTCCTACACAGAAAGTAGCATGTCCTTCCATGGATATACACATCATCACAGCCTGCATTGCAGTAATCCTCCTCCCTTCTTAAACTGTTCTCTGAAGGTACCATCAGTAATAACATAAAAGTTACATAATGCAATTTACAGGCATGAACTTAAAATCAAGGTAAAACGTGATACTAAATTATTCTATTAACCACATTGATTCATTTCTTCTATCTGCTATTGAGTAGATGTGCTTTCAAATTTACATGGAATTAATTGCCATGAAATCCACATACAAACCTGTGTTGCCCATCAATCCTAATCAGAGTAGGTTGACTTTTAAGGGCATTATTGTATCTGCTCTTTTCTGTAATCTCTCAGCCTCACACTCATATCTTAATACAAAAGAAAGATCTGACTGAATGTTTTCATCATATTCTTGTTTACCTTATTCCTACATAAACATATATAAGTATACATATGCATATATAAAAAATTAAAAATGATTCATAAATTAATTTCAAAGAAAGACAAAAAACCCTCTTGTTAACTTTTCTTACCATTTAAATTTTACTGCAAGAAAAAAAGACAGCATATACTTTCCTTGAATTAAACTACCGTACTGTTTTTAATTCAAAATATTTCTCCATAGCTCTACCTCTGCATTGAGAGTACAGCCTTAAGAAAAGCTTTCATTTGGCATTTCCTCAGATCTTAAACCAGGTGAGAAATTAAAGTTCCTCCATCCATCACTGTTTCCAAGTATCTGTTTCCTGTTCAGATCATCATTAAAAAAAAAAAAAAAAAAAAAACAAAAAAAAAAAAAAACACCTCCCAGTGTGATCATGGAAAGATGATGCATAGATCCATATTTAGAACACTACATTTTTAAGCCTCCGTAACAATGGAGATTATCTTATCTGCACCATTTATGCCTAGATTATGCTGATAAACTTGGAGTTCTGTACTCCAATTCTCAGCAGAATAAATAAATAAGCAAGGTGCATGGAATATAAGCAGGTGACTTGCAGCATAACCCCATTATCAGCTGTTATTACATTTAAAAAAAAGTGAAAGGAGGTGGACAAGAGTGCAAGAGGCACGCTTACAGAACTGCAGTAATGATGTATTAACCTCATCTCCATCTTTATAAATACTGCCTTTCAAGTCCTAGCCCCTGGGCACTAGTGACTGATAACAACCATGAAGCAAAGCTACTCTGAGATTAAGAATAATGCTGAGGGACTGCATAAACAATGTGAAGTCAGTGCTTTGCAGATTATAGATTAATTTATACAATATCACTGGTAATACAGACATGGAGACAACAGTCTCCAAATGTTCTGCTAGCTAGAAGAACTCATCACTTATGGCACACTGAGGAATTTCTGTGATGATCACCTTCTTCACACGCAAGCTGAGCTACATTCCTGTTTTGTCAAAGCCATTCCACTTGAGCTAAATACTCCGAGTGGTTGGCAGCAACATCTCATTGTCTTTTTTTCAGAAAACAAAATCATGTCAGATGATCCCACCAAGGCATACACACGTAGAACTTGGACAAACAAGAGCTGCCTGCTTAACAAGCACTAATCACACCTCTGTCCTCAACTCTTCTTAGAGACAGGAAAGGACAGCTCCTCATTATCACAGTAAACTTTAAGCTATCCCATTCTAAACCTAAAAATACAACCAGAGGCAAATGGATTTCAATCATATTTCTGTTGCTATTACTACTTTGCCAGGTAAACTTAAATGGATTATCTCACCTTTCATTATTGATGAAATGAGACTGTATCAGTCTCGTTTTTTTTCCATCTGCTGATTGGAATTAGCCGTGCTCCCTATACAGCACATGGACAACCTGAGCCTTAATTATGAAGTATGAATGCAGCACAGCATTTATCTATTGACTACATTTCTCCTGGTATTCTCCTTCTCTGTCCCTGCTTCTTTTTCCTGAGTCTTTTTTTTTTCTCAGAACTGGCTATTTTCATGCATTAATATTGGCAAAGTAATAACAGAAGCGTTAAATTCCAAAATGAGACTGACTTTCAGAAGATAAAAGGAAAAAGGGAAGAAAGAGATTTTCATTCACAATTCATTAATAAAATGACAAATATGTTCACACAGTCACTTGAAAGTGTCTTTAAGATAAGCTTAAAAAAACCTCTTTTTTAATAAATAAATTCACAGGATTTTCTATATCCTTGCAAGCAAAAATTCAGCTCTTGCTGTCAATAAGATATGGTAAGCAAGTTAACTTTATGAGGCTTAACTACTTCTAGAATTATTAGTCCATTAGTATCTTGAACTGCCTAACATCTCTTGGAGGATAATAGTCATTATGCTAATTTGATTTATCGTTCTTACATATTTCTATGTATACCACCTGTTTAATGCAAGAAATACAAGTTACTCATGCTTTTCATTTTTACTGTCAGCTATTAAAAAAAGACATCACCCACAAATTTCTCAGTGGTCATGAAAATTATATAGGATTCCAGAGTACACTAATGCAATGGTAATGTCATTATTAACATTCAGTCGTATTTTTCCCAGTGAAAAAGGTCCTAAACTATAAAAGAGCTGCTACTCTGTGAAACAGGAAGATGGCCTCCTTTTTTCCTTTAACAGAACAGATGACAAGAGCATGCTATGTCTGCATTCTCAAGAGAAGCATTTCTTGACTTTTAAATTTGGTGTTATCGCTGAAGGTCAATATGAAACAAAAAAAACATGAACATAAACAGTATAGAGTTGAACAAGAATTCCTCAAAAGGTGATACATATAAGGAACCATGGCAACATGGTCACTCTCTAAGTACCTCTGCATCACTCCAGAGCATACATTTGCTATGCTTAGCAGTCATTTCATTCTGCTGCATCCTGCACAGCAAATAGGAATGGCAAATGAAGACTGTATGAAGGCTTCTCAGTGTCAGCCAGAAAGCATCCCCCATTCCCACCCTTCTTCAGAAAGGCCTTTTACAAATTAATCACAGATTTGCTCTTAGTACCATTTTATGCTGAATCAGAACCAAAGTGCTGTCATCAGTAAGTAATGACATCAGTATAGTATCCAACTGATGTGAAATGAAGTACTACATCTCTCAGAATGCTGATGGAAGTGATCTGAGTATGAAAGCTCTTGACTTAGGAGATCAGTGCAAAGACTGAGATGACAGCCATAATTCTATCAAAAGCTGTCCACTTTCATCCGCAAATTAATTTTAACAATTATCTGCTAAGATACTCATACTAATGTATACAGACTCTGAATTCTGTAGTTGTAGGACTTGAAGCCATCAAGAAAGGTTGATGTAGTTGGCTTACCAGGAAAATTTGAAAAGAGAAAAAGCAATAAAAAGGAGCTGAGGAAGGCTCAGTAGATAAATGTCTGCTCAGCAACACCTGGCTAAATAAGAACTGCAATAAGATTTTGTCTCTAGTGAAAATTACAGTCGGGAGGAAAAAGAGCTCCTCTCACGCTGAGAGAAATCATCTATGATAGATTTGTTAATCCCAGCCATCATAATTGTGTACAGAATGACATACAACACAATAACAACAAGTTGATTTCTTATTAATCTTACAGACTTAACCGACTTAACTGAGTAAAAACAGCTCAAAAAAGGTGAGACACCCGTGGTTCTGAATAGCTCAGGAATGACAACACCCACTTATCTTTTGCCTCCTGCTCTATCTTATGCAATTACCAATTATACTACCAGAAGTAATCTAGTTTATTACTGGTAGTGCAATGAACTAATGGGAATTTAATCCATCCCATTTATCACAATGGTGAAAAGAATTTTAATATCACTGTTTAGGAGATTATCTTAAGGTTTGTTTGTGCTGTTTTGAGCAAATATTACTACTGAGTAGTGATCGCAACCTCTCATTTATGTTAACTGAGATAGCTCAGTTTCACTTATGAATTAGAATGCACTGACTTACATTGCCTTAACTACAGGTTTTACTTCCTGTTGTTTAGAAATCTACATGTGGCCAAATGCTGTGGTCTGCCTGGTAAATGCTGTTGAGGCAGTGCTTTAAGCCTGGCTGGTCAGATGAATTTCAGCCCTCCTCACTGTCCTCTTATCCAGCCTGTACTTCCTGAATGTCTGAGACAATGTTACAGGAGTGTGTTGAAAGCATCAGCAGAGTCAAAACAAGACCAAGACCAAGCTAGTCTTTTCACAGCACTGTAGTCACCTCAAGGTACTGTAACTGTAATAAGGACTAAAATATGATATACAAAGCAGCATAACTCATTGTTATTATTTTTAAACTACTCAAAA